GCTATTTGAAAGTGAAAGTAAAATGTGCACGCCGCTTTGCAAGCTATTTAAAAGCGAAGGAAAGCGAGGAAAAGAGGAACGCCCCTGCCCCCACGGTGATACCGGTATTATCGGTGTTGTCACACGTCGATTAACTGGTGGGAAAATTTCCTCACCGTCACAACACTAATCTACAGCCTTATATTGTGTGCATCATCTATGCCTGAGCTTTGTTTTTGAAGTTGTTGTGATATGAGGTCAGCTCTGTGCTGGTCTGATTTCTAGATGTGTATGCAGTTTGTCTTCACAGCAGGGTGCTTGCTAATCAAACGTTAGCTCTTATGTTTTCACCAGACCCTTTGTTAAGTGTTTATGATCAAAAGAGTTTTGCTGTGCGTTTTGAAGTGCCTTGTTTTATCTGTACACTGTCTGTGTTTGTGTTTACGCTCATCAACAGGCTCGAAAGCACATTCTAGAAATCCACACCAGGGACTGGAGCCCCAAGCTAGCTGAACCCTTCATAGATGAGCTAGCTGAGAAATGTGTCGGTAAGATGGACGCAAAAATTATGCTTTTCTAGCTTCACCTCTATATCTCAACCCAACTAGTTGCAGCATGAACACGTTTTGGGTTTCAAGTCATTTCTTTCTTCACTGATAGTGAAATGCTGCAAAGTGACAGTCACAGGCTATCAGAACATGTTTGTTTAATCTATATTCAAAGTCATTGAGCTATTACTACTTGATTTCTCTAGACCATAAAGTGTTTTGATGTCAGATGTTTGGAAGACGAAACATAAAGAAACAAATGTTAATCCCATAATCAGATAATTGACTGTTTTACACAGGTGTTAACATTTGTTCAACAGATTTATTATTATTTAATGTAGAAACATTTTATTTGCTTTCAAATGTATCTTTTTGGCTATTGTTTGTAGCTTAAAGTCCAAAATCAAATAGCAGTTTGTTTTCCCAACTATAAAATTACAAAATTTAAACTTTGAGTTAAGTTGAATGGAACACAGTATTAATATTTTCACTGTAAGCTAGGCTATTCTGTCAACTTAGACTGTGCTTCTTAAATAAAAATAATAATAATAATAAAGTTTAAAGGGGTCATATGATGCGATTTCAATTTTTCCTTTCTCTTTGGAGTGTTACAAGCTCTTGGTCATTTCGAATTTATTTTAACCATTAAATGGAAACCCAAAAAAATAAGAATTGTGAAACATTTAAACAAAAAATTAGAGTTATTATTATTTTATTTTATGTCTGTTTATTTTGTGTAATTATGCAATTGTTAGGTTGTAAATATTTAAAGTTAACAATTTACTAATGTTTTTGAACAGTATTAAAGGTGGCCACAGAGTGATGTTGTTGTCCAGATGAGTCTAACTCTGCTGTGTCTCAGGTTACTGTGGGGCCGACATCAAAGCACTTTGCACAGAGGCTGCGCTAGCGGCTCTGCGGCGGCGCTATCCTCAGATTTACGGCAGCAGCCAGCGTTATCAGCTGGACGTGGGCTCCATCGTTTTGGGGCCGCAGGACTTTGGTCGTGCTCTGCGCTCCATAATACCTGCGGGTCAAAGGGCCCTGACTCCACCCGGCCAGGCCCTTTCCTGCGTGTTGAAGCCCCTGCTGGAGCCCACACTGGCCCAAACGCTGGCCTGCCTGATGCGAGTCTTCCCCCACGCAGACCTCCTGCACAGGGAACACATACACGGTACGCTCCCATTTCCTGCTGTTGGATTTTATGTTGTTCGGTGAGTTATTTCTACTATACATCACAGGTACAAAAATTGCTTTAATTAGTTTTTTCCCTTTGCCCTTCTTTTCTGATTTAGGTGTTTCATCATCCATTCAGATCTATTTTTTGTGCCTTACATACAGAGCTTTATAATTACCACCTCATATTACTGTTGGGAATAGAATTTTCCCAGTATTTTTAATGACTGCTCTCTTTGTAATAAGTCATGTGACTCATCCCACCATTTAGTTTTGAGCTTTTCTCTGCTGTAATTATACCATTAAACTGATTGTTTTAAAAGAAACTTCATATGTCAAAGATGAATTGACAACTAGTGAGAGATTTTAGTTTTCCTGGATTGTTTGTTCATTATTATTATTATTATTATTATTATTATTATTATTATACATATTTCATAAATGGTTGATTTTTTTAAATTAATGGAATCTTTTTCCTCTAGAAGATTTTATAAAAATTTTTATCTTTAAAGTTTTACAAGACCGATTTCATATTTTTATTGTGCCTCATTACTTACTTGTGCCCTTGAATCGTTGAGTGAATCGTTTGGGAGTCGTTGAGCAAGTAAGGTAAAAATAAATGCATATTATAAGACAATAAAAGTGTTTTTTGTCCTTGCATGCATGTCACCCTGTTGTTGGGGACTCCCAAAACCAAAATATGAACCTTTCATTACCCATAATACGGGCGCTTTAATCCTTGGTGCGTTTTATATTGTTCTTATTTGTAGAATTTGTATATGATTATTATTATTATTATTATTATTATTATTATTATTGTCTTATCA